CTGTAGCTCTGAGATACTTTAGTCGTACCCTCGAGATATAGTACATAGTACTATAGTAATGTTTCTCTAAGAATAATGTTGTACTATTTTGGTGGTGGCGCTGCCAAAGCAATTCTCTGGTACAATATTCGTGAGCGTCGTACCCTGTCGTGGCTTGCAATAGTTGGGAATAGTCCAGCACTGGAAGCCGGAATGTTCTGATGCCGTGGTACCGTCGCACTGTTCTAGTACGCTGGTACTGTGGCGCTGCAGTGTGGATATTGGAGTAATCGTGATGTATCATTGTAGCAGTAGTACTGCAGTAGAGGCACCCGCATATTGTACTAGTAGTGCTGTGGTAGTGGCTGTAGCAGCAGCCGAACTCTTGTATAGTAGGACTCAAACGCTGTAGCCGTACCCAAGTACCCAGCACCGTAGTGCATTCGCAGCACTGTAGCTGGAGCGTTCTGCCACAGTCGCAGTACTCCTGTAATAATATGGTGGTCGTACTGATGTACCGATACAGTAGTAGCCGCAGTAGTAGTAGTAGTAGTAGTAGTAGTAGGAGTAGCAGTAGTAGCCGTAGTAGTAGTAGTAGTAGTCGTAGTAGTAGTAGTAGTAGTAGTAGTAGTAGTAGGAGTAGTAGTAGTAGTAGTAGTGGTAGTAGTACCAATAATTGATAAATTAGTCGTCGTAGTATCAGTACTAATAATAAAAACCAATCGTGTCGTAGTGGTCGTAACCATTCTGTACCGGTAGGAGTCGTATAATAATATTCGACCGCTGTATGAGCTTAGTGTTCTAGAAACGCGCTAGTACGGTCGTACTGTTGTAGCCAACATTTTGTAATGGTAACAATGAGGTTTGTAGTCGTAGGTATAAGAGTACAAATGGTAAGCGTAGTAGTAGCATAGTAGTAGTACTCTGGCACTGTAGTGGTATATCATGCTGTACTGCCTTAAAAGCTTAGAAGCACTCGAGTACGATTGTTATTGTAGCAATGATATCGTCGTGCAACTCATAATGTTGGTCTCACTCGTACTGTGGAACTGTAGAAGCAATGAACTAGTAGTAGTAGTAATAGTCGTCGTCGTTTCCGTAGTGGTAGTAGTAGTAGTAGTAGTAGTAGTAGTAGTAGTCGTAGTAGTAGTAGTAGTAGTAGTAATAGTAGTAGTAGTAGTAGTAGTAAAAATAATAGTAGTAGTAGTAGTAGTCGTAATAGTAGTAGTACTAGTAATAATAATAGTAATACTAGTAGTAGTAGTAGTAGTAGTAGTAGTAGTAGCAGTGGTCGCTGTGGTAGTAGGAATGATAGTGGTAGTGGTAGTAGTAGTAGTAGTAGTAGTAGTAGTCGTCGTAGTAGTAGTAATACTAGTTGTTGCCGTAGTTGTGCAACTATTGTGGGAATGTGGTGGTAGTGATGATGCTCTAGCATTGCGGCGGCAGCAGAACTCCTATAATGGCTGTACTAAATTCACTGTAGTCTGCACTAGAACTGTCATACTACAAGTAGCTGTACCCTAGCACTGTAGTAGTATGAATACTATAGTACTGGTGGCTGTAACAGTGGCGGTGGAGTGCGGAAGGCGGCGCTGTAGTAACATTGCGCTTTGCTGTAGTAGCAATGATACTGCCGGTGCTGAATGCAGCTCGCTGCGCTGAAGTAGTGTAATCAAAGCTGTCGGGGACTGACTGCAATATTTGAATACTGGTACGCCAGCATGACAACACTTCGTTGCTGTAGTCGCGCCCGAGATTGCTTCGAGAAAAAATGTTAAAAAAGAAGTGCTGTCGTAGGTGTACCCTTAGCACGGCAGCAGAGGTATCAACAATGAAGTATCACTGTTAGTACCCCAGTACTGCAGCAGCAGTCGTACCCTGGTACTGGCTGTTGCAGTCGTACCCCTCGTAATGTAGTAGCAATGCTCCAACAATGTCGTTCTATGGTACGGTAGTGATACTGCCGTACTGCAATCCTGGAAGTGCAGCACTGTAGTTGTAGTGCTATTATAATATTGTTGTCATACCTCAGCAGCGCTGTAGAACTACCGCCGTGCCGAAGTAGTAACAGTCTTCTGGATGCTGGATATGATTCTATTTCGCTGGTGCTCTAATGAGGTAGCACTGTTAGCAGCACCCGCGAAGGGTTGTACAGTGGTCGTATTGCACTCGCACTGTGCAGGTAGCTCTCTGGAAATTAAGAAATTAGCCTGGCGAAGGACCCAACCATATGCAGTTGAGAGTACCGCAATTGTGAATATTTTCTTCGGTGGCGCTCCCTATGGGGCCACGAGCCGTATGAGGGGTGTGCCGAAATGCGTGGCAGTGTACACAACACGAACGAAGACGATAGGTCCGAATATGAAAGCTTGAGCGCGTGCGAGTCGGATCGCGAGCGAGTCTGATTATGAATGAATCTGCGCGCGATTGATTCTATTCGCATGAATGCGTGCATGGATACGCCCAGTGTAAATGTATGTATACGACTGTGAACAGTTTGGGTCTGCGTGACTCTCGGTACTCGTGACTCTGAGCGTCGCCTCTGCAGGGGGCTTCCCTGGGAACCCCGACGGGAGCGCCCGCGCGCCGCGACGCCCATGTCGGCACGCCACACACCTGGTGTGCGGGACGCATGCGGACGGCAGCACTGGGGCCTTCGGTGGAGCTCCCTGTGGGGCCACGAAACGTGTGAGGGGTGTGCCGAAATGGGTGTGTGGGACGCATGCGGACGGCAGCCATGGGGCCTTCGGTGGAGCTCCCTATGGGGCCACGAAACGTGTGAGGGGTGTGCCGAAATTGGTGTGCGGGACGCATGCGGACGGCAGCACTGGGGCCTTCGGTGGAGCTCCCTGTGGGGCCACGAAACGTGTGAGGGGTGTGCCGAAATGGGTGTGTGGGACGCATGCGGACGGCAGCCATGGGGCCTTCGGTGGAGCTCCCTATGGGGCCACGAAACGTGTGAGGGGTGTGCCGAAATGGGTGTGCGGGACGCATGCGGACGGCAACACTGGGGCCTTCGGTGGAGCTCCCTGTGGGGCCACGAAACGTGTGAGGGGTGTGCCGAAATGGGTGTGCGGGACGCATGCGGACGGCAGCACTGGGGCCTTCGGTGGAGCTCCCTGTGGGGCAACGAAACGTGTGAGGGGTGTGCCGAAATGGGTGTGCGGGACGCATGCGGACGGCAGCCATGGGGCCTTCGGTGGAGCTCCCTATGGGGCCACGAAACGTGTGAGGGGTGTGTGCCGACATGGGTGTGCGGGACGCATTCCCGCATTCGGACGGCAGCCAGGTGGCCTCGTTGGAGGCCCCTATGGGGCCACGAAACGTGTGAGAGGTAGTGCGACATGGGTGCGCGGGGCTCATGCGGACGGGCAAGCATTGGGGCCTTCTGGTGAGCTTCCCTGTAACTGAGTCGGGCCTTGAGGGGTGTGCCGAAATGGGTGTGCGGGGCGCATGCGGACGGCAGCATTGGTGCCTTCGGTGGAGCTCCCTGTGGGGCCGCGAAACGTGTGAGGGGTGTGCCGAAATGGGTGTGCGGGGCGCATGCGGACGGCAACCATGGGGCCTTCGGTGGAGCTCCTTATGGGGCCACGAAACGTGTGAGGGGTGTGCCGACATGGATGTGCGGGACGCATGCGGACGGCAGCACTGGGGCCTTCGGTGGAGCTCCCTGTGGGGCCACGAAACGTGTGAGGGGTGTGCCGAAATGGGTGTGCGGGACGCATGCGGACGGAAGCCATGGGGCCTTCGGTGGAGCTCCCTGTGGGGCCACGAAACGTGTGAGGGGTGTGCCGAAATGGGTGTGCGGGACGCATGCGGACGGCAGCCCTGGGGCCTTCGGTGGAGCTCCCGTTGGGGCCACGAAACGTGTGAGGGGTGTGCCGAAATGGGTGTGCGGGACGCATGCGGACGGCAGCACTGGGGCCTTCGGTGGAGCTCCCTGTGGGGCCACGAAACGTGTGAGGGGTGTGCCGAAATGGGTGTGCGGGACGCATGCGGACGGCGGCACTGGGGCCTTCGGTGGAGCTCCCTGTGGGGCCACGAAACGTGTGAGGGGTGTGCCGAAATGGGTGTGCGGGACGCATGTGGACGGCAGCCATGGGGCCTTCGGTGGAAGCTCCCTATGGGACCACGAAAAACGTTGTTGGGAGGGGTGTGCGAAATGGGTGTGCGGGACGCATGCGGACGGCAGCACTGGGGCCTTCGGTGGAGCTCCCTGTGGGGCCACGAAACGTGTGAGGGGTTTGCCGAAATGGGTGTGCGGGACGCATGCGGACGGCAGCCATGGGGCCTTCGGTGGAGCTCCCTATGGGGCCACGAAACGTGTGAGGGGTGTGAAGGAGAGGAGAGGAGGAGAGGAGAGGAGAGAGGAGGAGAGGAGGTGGGACGCGGGGGCCGTCTCTTCAAAACGAGGACCCAACACCACAGGATGGTTGGGAAAAATAGTCCGAACATAGTCTGGGGACTATTTTTAAAATATTTGTTTGCCTTTTTGGGGCATGGTTGGGGTATTTTTTTCATTTTTCGTCGAAAATTCCCCTGTACATTTTCCCTCGTGCCCCGTACGTGGATTCTTTTCATGCCCCCCAGGGGGGGTTCTGCATCATCTTGTCGTGGGCGCCCCGATCGGGACTCCCCCTCGCGATCCCCCCGATCGGGATTCGTTCCGATGGGACGCAGCTGCGTACACCTCGGCCCTGGGCCCCCGCCCGCACCAGCAGCGACCGAGGCGCGCAGCGAGGTGCCGCCCCAGTCGCAGAGCGAGCCTCCCCCCCCCGCCATTCGCGGAGCCAGGCCCCCACTCTGGCGCAGACCAGGCGAGTGTCGGGGGGCTGGGATCCGGGTTGCGCGTGCGCGCCTTTGAGCACCCCACCCCCCAACGATTCCGACGAGGGACTGGGGCGCTCGCGCTCACGATGTCAAGCGAGCCCCCTTCCCACTTGCTCCCCCGCCTCCCCGACCTCCCTCGCGGAGGGAAGGAGGGCGGTCACTGCCCCCTCCCGTTCCCCCTGCCGCTATGAGAGGCGGTCCGGCATCATCGGTGGCTTGGAGCAGGACCTGGAGGACCTGAACACGGAGGCGAGACGGGCTGCAGCCCAAGAGCTTCCTCCACCTCGAGCTCCTCCTGCTCTTCCCCCGGCGGACCGCTGTCCCGAAACACTATGCATGGAGGCCGGCGCAACTTTCCTTCTCCTCATGCTCCCTCCTGCCCCGGTTCCTCCACCTTCTCTTGCTCCTCTTCCTCCTCGAGTGGCCATTTGCGCAGGGGGGCTTCTGGAGGCTGGGCGACGGCGTATGCTCCGCCTGGCTCTCGTGAGCCCGAGGTCCAGCCTGGTCTCGCCCTTGATCTTCTCCTTTCCATGGTGTGTACGCATGAAGCGGGGAGTTTTGAGTCACTGTGTTCTAGGCCTCCTAGATGGGATCCGAGTAGATGGGGTCGGAGGATCGCGCCGCATCGCCGATGCATCGACGATGCGGCTCGATGCGGAGCCCGATTTTCTCCACGCCGACGTCGCCGATACATCACCGACGTCGACGCCTCATCGCCGGTGCATCGGCGATGCATCGCCGATGCATCGCCGATGTATCGAGAGATGTTCGTTCCCATGTTCCCTGCGTGTTCCATTGCTCCCTATCGATCGCCGATGGAGCCTCCCCATTGTTCCTGCGTGTTCGCAGAGATCGAGCCTCCTGTCGAGCCGCCCTGGGGCTCCTGCGTTTTCCCAGGGGTCGAGCCCTCCACGGGGCTGCTGCGTCTTCCCAGGGCCTCCCATCGAGCCTTCCTGGGGCTCCTACGTTTTCCCAGGGATCGAGCCTCCTATCGAGCCTCCCTGGGGTTCCTACGTTTTGCCTGGGATCGAGCCTCCTATGGAGCCTCCCTGTTGTTCCTACGTGTTCCCAGGGATCGAGTCTCCTATCAAGCCTTCCTGGGGCTCCTGCGTTTCCCAATGGATCGAGCTTCCAATCGAGCCTCCCTCGGGCTCCTGAGTTTTCCCAGGGATCGAGACTCCTAGTGAGTTTCCCTGGGCCTCCTACGTTTCCCCAGTGATCGGGCCTCCTATCGAGCCTGCCTGGGGCTCCTACGTTTTCCCAGGGTTCGAGCCCTCCCCAGGGCTGTTACGTCTTCTCAGGGCCTCCTATCGAGCCTTCCTGGGGCTCCTACGTTTTCCCAGGGATCGAGCCTCCTATCGAGCCTCCCTGGGGTTTCTACGTTTTTCCAGGGATCGAGCCTCCTATCGAGCCTCCTATCGAGCCTGCTATCGAGCCTTCTATCGAGCCTCTTTAAGACAACGACGTCTTAGAAGGCAGGGATCGTATTAGCTTCGCGTTTCAGATGCGTTTCTATCCTCGGATGGAGGGATCTTCTCCAATGCGTGGGCTCGATCGATGCGTTTATGATCCATCACTTCTCCTCCCCCTCCTCCTCCCCCGAACTGCGGCGTCACCGTGGTTGCCACCGTGGTACAGGTCCAGAAACTGTCTCTTCACCGGCCTGCCAACACATCAGCACGGGGTAGCACCCCTCACACTGCGCGTCGATATATTCAGAAGCCTCCCGGGCACACTCCCGAGCGAACGCCCCCGCTGCATCGGCTGAGCGAACGCCCCCGCTGCCCCTGCTCAGGTGGCTCGCATGCAGACACTGCTTGTAACTTTCAATTGAAGTACGTGGCCAGTGAAACACCCAATCAGCCAGTGAACAGATGAGCCAGGGAAGGGTCCCATCTTGTTGGTGAAGGGTCCCACCTGGCCGGAGAAGAGACCAGTCGCGTTCAACGCTTGTGGGCGCTTCAACACCATCACCATCATTATCCGCATACATCTCTCATCGCTTCCTGATTGCATTTTCCTTCTCCTGTCTCCTAGTTCTCCCCCTCTTCCTTCCTTTCCCTTCTCTCCTCCCCTGCTTCTTCCTTCCCCCCTTTTCCCTCCCTCCCTTTCTTCTCCTATTCCTCCTTCCTCCTGCTGGGGTTACACCTTTAACGAGGGTTAAGAACAATCTAGCTTCGGAGTGGTCTCTCACATTCGTTAACCTTGGCGTGTTCGTCGCTTTGGGTAACTGCATGGGGCGTTCGTGTGGTGGTGGTCATGGTGGGCATGATGATGATGGTGGTGGTGATGGTGGTAGTGATGCTGATGCTGCTGATGCTGATGATGCTGATGCTGATGATACTGCTGATGCTGATGCTGATGATGCTGATGCTGATGATACTGCTGATGCTGATGCTGCTGCTGCTGCTGATGATGATGATGATGATGATGATGATACTGAAGATGATGCTGATGATGATGATGCTGATGGTGATGATGATGATGATGATGATGTATATTGTAATACTGCGGATGCCCATGATGCTGCTGCTGGTGATGCTGATGGTGGTCATGCTGGCACTGATGATGATGGTCATGCCAAGTGTTTATCACGCCTTTGTTAGCTAATGTCTCGGGGATGGGCCGCCTTGGGGTCACGCCTCACGAATGTGTGCCGCCGGAGAAAACGACCCATTTCAGCCCAAAGGGGTCGTTTTTCGCAGGGTCCCGCGGCATTGCATTTTCGCGTCGACTTGTATGTCCGTGACCTCGATGGCTCAAGCGAGCGCACGGTTCCGATGTTGAACCGTGTGACCGATTGGCTTGGAGCGGGCGTCATCTCTTACCTCAGTCGGTGCCCCGCCGCGCCCTCCTGTCCAGAGTGCCCGCCATATACCTGCCAGCTGACGTGCCCGGCGGTGCCAAGCTGCCCGGCGTGCCCAGGGGCGCCTACGCCAGTGCAGGCGTCGTGCCCTGAGCCTCCGGCCTGCCCGACGCTCGAGGCGCCGGCTGCCCCGGGGCGTCTCTGGGACCTCCTTGCAGGCGCGGTCGCATCCATCGCGGCCTCGGGCATCCTCGTCGTGATCGGCTGGTGCGGCTCCTTGACCGTCAGGACCACTCGCCGCCATGGCGTCTGGAGCCGTCCAGCTCTGGGCATGGATCCTGCACAACGGGGACCAAGGATGGCAGCAGCGACGGGTCCTGGGCCACTTGCAGCCGCCGGGAGCGAATCCAGTCAATGACTTTCTGATCGTGTGCGCGACGCCAGATGCCGACGTCTACTTCGAGCTGGTGGACGGCACGAGCCCCGACTACCAGGCTGTGAGGTTCTCGCCGGATCGTCGGACCATCCCTCCAGGGATTGCACGCGGTCAGACCTACCGCTTCAGGAGGGAGCCGACCGCGGCGGAGCTCGCCGCGTTCATGGGCCAGGCCCGTCAGGCCGCCGACGACCTGTACATCCAGCAGGCAGCGGCTGCCGGGCTGCCAGCGGTGGCTCCGCTGGGCGGCGCCTTCGTCCCGTTCGTGCCGCCGGCCAGCGCCCGCCGGCGGCCAGCCCGCCGCCGCGGCAGGCCCGGCCGGGGCCGCCCCGCTGGCGGGCGGAGCCGCGCCTGCCGCGGCCGGGGCGCAGTGGGTGACGGTGGAGTCGACCACCTTTGCCTCCAGGGGGACCCCGGTCGTCCTGTCGGCGACGGACGTCGTGAAAGGCGAGGTGGGCATCTTCACCACGCCCGCAGGCGTCGCCGTGCTGGTCCGCGACCTGCAGGCGCACCCCGTGGAGGAGTACATGGTGATGGAGAGCCACCGCGACCTCAGGATCAGCAAGGCGACGGTCATCGCCTCCAAGGATCGAGCGAGAAGCCGCTTCACCAGCTCGGACGTACAGCTTCGAGAGTCGCCGTTCCCCGATTGGCCCGTGCCCGGGCCGAGGGCGGTGAAGTGGTGCTGCGTGTGGCTCTTCAGGCGCCAAGGGGGGCCGCTCGAGCATCACCGATCGCTCGTCATGACTTTCGGATTGCGGTCCGCGGACTGGGGCGTCGAGGTTCACCACACGGCCATGAGGTGCCTCGACGAGGGGTTCTGCTACGACATGGTGGACGTCAGCAACAGCGCCACCATCGAGCTGTTGCTCAGGAAGGCGCAATTGGTAGAGTACGTGTACCACATGGACTTCCTTGCCACGCGTGGGCCCAACACCAAGGGCAAGGGCAAGGGCGGCGCGGCCTCCCTCCAGCACGCCGTCTTCGACGAAGCCGCCATCTTCTCAGGGATGACCAAGGGCCCAGGCATGGCGATGGTCCGCCCAGACCTGATCGCCCACGTGGCGGCTGAGGTCGAGCGCGACGCCGCCATCCTCAAGCAGGTCCGCAAGGCCCGAGAGGAGAGGGCGGAGCTGGCCAAGCAGGGCAAGAAGGGGAAGGAGGAGTCGGGGTGATGTTCACCCCTCCGGGGCTGGAGAGACCTCCCAGCCAGCCCCGGCGCGAACGCGACCTTCGGGGGGGGCCTCCTGGACTGGCGACCGGGGGGCAGCCTGCTCTCAGCCATCCTTTTTGGGCAGACGAGCGACAGCGGAACTTGCTGCCTCTTCCTCGTCCCCATACAGTTTTGCATCGAGGCTTTAGTGGAGCTGCTGTACATCTTGGCAGGTCTACTCGTCGTCGGCTACAGCGCACTAATCACGTCGATATGGTGTGCGATGAAATTGCCGGCGCGTTGAACGATTTGTACCTTGGCTCATCTTGTCCACGGATGAATCGTGGCCCTTCGGCGAGTCAGCAGGCCAGTCTCAACTCGATTCGCCAGTCTGTTTTGTCCATGGGCCCGCCGCCGGACGACATGAGCGGCCCAGGAGCCCTGCGAGCGCTCCGGGCTAAGAGTGCTTACGGCGAAGGCGCCGTGATCGCCCCCCTCAGCATGGACGCCGTCCACCTGATCGACTTGCCGGCTGCTGGGTCGGTCTCACGTTCTCTTGAGCATCTGGCTGGAGATCGGGGCAAAGAGATTGCTGAGCGACTAATTCAATTGCGCTTGCCAGAATCCACTGGCAGGGAGATAGCTAAACTTCAGTGGCCCGCTCGGCCTTACTCCGACCCCGCCCTCAAGCGGTCGCCCGCCCTGTGCGCGGAGTTGCTGCGCAGGATGGCCGACTGTGACCTGATCGAGTGGCATCTGACGGGCGAGGTCTCTTGCGGCCTGTTCTTCGTATATAAGAAGTCAGGAAGATATCGTTTGATTGTCGATGGTCGGCTACCATCGTGCCATTTTCGCGACGGTGACCCTGTCTCGCTGGCCTCTGGGGCCGCCTTTTCCGCCATCGAGGTTGACAGCGCTGCGCCCATCCAGGTCGGCTCGGTCGATAT